ATTTGGAAAGATCTCGTGGATAGAGGTATATGATTGGAATCGAAATGTACAACAGGGCACGAAGAAGGTGCGGATATACAAAGGAAACTGACGTCTAAACAAGGCACCCAAAATGAAGCATGACTAGAACTCGCATCAAGGACTGCTAAAAAAAGCGAGGAACTATTCAGTCGATGTCGAGAGCTTCGGACAGAAGGTAAACTAACCTCAGTTGACAGTTATCAATGCCATCTCCTTGCGTTTTGGAAGACACTAGGGTGTGAACCAGGTCTGATGGGAATTTCGCTGCAGAAGCTACAAGACTGTTAGAACGCGTGGTCCTCGGAAGGCGCAGCAAGACAGACGTACTTGATGACGTCGCCAAAACGTGGCAGAGAGGATATCAGTTGCTCTGTCCGCTCCTCTCCATCAAAAGGTTCGTCGTGGATTTGGGGGATGATCGCTGAACATGCAAATTAGATGAGGATTATCAGGAAGTGAGAATGAGCGTACATTCTTCCTCGAAGATAAAATCAGAGGGAACGGTTGAGATGTTTTCTGCAAGGAAAGCTTGGTATATAGTAGGAGCTACGTGCGTAGATTCAGTAATCAGACATCGAAAGATCCCAAAAATGACCCACCAGAACCATCATCCCTTCTGAACCTCTTGGCGAAAGCGAGAGGACTGTGTTCGTTGGTCATTTTTAGCGTTGATTGAAAGCTGAGTTGTGTGAGCGAAGTGGTAGACAAGACTGGAAGAGAACTTGCTGAGGAAAAAAAAGGTGGAATCCTTCGATTCTTATATACGCTTCATCAAAAGACGCGTACAATGGCGATGATGCACTTGTGGTTCATGAAATCATACATGCGTACCCGTCCCCCGTAGGCCTAGTTCGCATAGAACGAGTTCTTCGGAAGTTTTGAAGATCCAATGAAGAAAAGGAAAGGATAATCTCTCGATGTATTCAATACGACGGATGCTCGTTACGGTAGACCGCTTTCAACCTTTCGGACATTACGGGGTCTGACTCTGGACTCGTACGAAAAAACGTGTACTGGGCGGCCTTTCATTGACATCGCTTGAGATTCTCCCGAGGTTGAAGGCCTACCCACCGTCCTTTCTTCCATCCCAGATTCCCACAACTTGTTTCTCGCACGAGAGTGCGTCTGCCGGTGTCACTCGAGTAATTATGCGGGGTGGTCGGAACGGAGGATGGGGATTGTCATCGCATGCGAAGCAAGCTCGAGGACACGAGTTACGAGTTACTCGAGTTAGAACTCAGCCCTGATCGACATCCCTGGTCGGTTCGAAGGTTGTATGACGCAAGTAAGGTTGGGGGAATGGATTGTAGGAAAGAAGAGAAGACTTTTAGACTTGGCGTCAGCCTCTTATATACCTTGGTAGGTCTCAACCGTAGGGGGTACGGTCACAGTGACCAGCCCGTGTGAATAGATAATGGTATGGAGAGGCCCCTTCAGTCGTCATGGTCTGTTGGTTGCGGATGGGATCAACTGACTGACGCAGCAATGCCGAAGAACATATCAAAAATAGATCAAAACATTGATGCGGCCTTGACAGAACTAAAAATCTTCAACGTGCTCGGAAATGAGCTCCGGGGTCGAGATGCACGGTAAGTAAATGCCTGCGGGCTTCCGATCGTCAACAAAATCCACATGTCATTCGAACATGAGGGATTTTCGTCGATTGACATTTAGGCCAAAACGTGGAGTTGGGAAGTTTCAAAGAAGCATCCGAGAGCTCGCAGTCTGGGACTCGGGCTCCGCGTACGAGACCCTGATCGCTCTCAAGGATAAGCGCTTGTCGACGAGTTTAATTTCGGTCCAGCGACAAGATAGTGAGCCCAAAGGTACTCTTTCCTCGTAAACCTGGCTTGAACTCTGCACAGTCTTTGAGATAGATTTGCTGCTTTGAAACGGGTAAGGGGACGTAGGCACTCACACTGGAGAAATTAGGCCCAAGCTTGCTCACACAAGCAGTTTGGCCCTACCAGGAACGTTCATACATAGTCGCTGGTGTACAGGGATCAAAAAGTCATGATGTCATTCGAATGAGGGATTTTTTTCGTTCGTAGACGGTCAGTAAGTTTGAGAGGTATCGGGATCCGCGCACGAAGTCCCTGAAAAAAGAAGACTAGTCCTAATTAGGTTTTTAAGCGCTAGGAGTATTAGAAATATGAAGATAATCTGTATACCCACTGATTTCCGAGGACCTCAAGGCACAGGACTCTTTGGATGTCTATCGAAGCCATCATCCCTTATTCGGAGATTCACGTATGAGATGGACATTGGATCCCCAGTGAAATTAATGAATGAAGGTCAAAGCCAAGTACCGCGCAGGTACCGTACGAGATCCAGCGCAACAAAGTTCAAGGTAGCAAGTAGAATGAGCTATTTTGGCGATGAACAAGCAAGTAGAGCAAGCCGGTATTCAACGTGGTCGGTGTCGCTGAGCCATAACAGCTGAGTTGCTCTCGCTCACGGACTCCGCGTACGACATCCGAGTGGTTTCAGTTTTGCGGGTTAATTTCCCGTTTGCCGATCGGCTGATTCGGGACGATGGGTGCTCAGGACCGCTGGGCCGCAGAGGTATGACGATGCCAAGGGTGCGTTCACTATGTATGTTCCAACGGTATCCAGTTTTGGCTGCTCTTGTCTAAGCTACCAATTGCTCATCCCTCGCGATACAGTCTCTGAGGTACAACCCACACCTCCAGTCTGAGCTGCTTGAAGTAAAAGCGTCGTCATATTCCCAACACCCTCAATATTCGAACGGACACACTATTTCCCCCGCGCGTTAGGCTCATCTCCTACCTTGCTGCTTGTTACCCCCTACGCCAGGAAGTGAACCTCAAGCCGTGATTAACGCCGAATTGGACCTTTCTGGAGTGCAGGTGTAGACTTTCCGAGGGCGCGTTTATTATAGACATTGACTGGAGTTGAAGCTACATATCCTTAAACCACCACCTAACGCTGCTCTCCTCGTCCCTCGTTTTCCACTCTCTTCCGACTTCAAACTAGCAAGTGAACACTTTGGGTCCTAAAAAGCGAAAAACAACTATCAACACTCTGAAAAATTCAAATAACCTAAAGTAGACCTCACCTGGAATCGTATAACTCGTGAATGGCGGCCAGTACAAGTTGAACGTGACACCAGGGTCAGTTCCCTGATACGCACCAGGGAAACTGACCGTAGCCGGAGAAGCATTCCCGCCACCCGTAACGTTAATCTGCGCGCATTCCATCTAATGCCTCCTAGCATCAGCAACCCAAAACAACGAAACCTCGCTCAATCAAGAATCAAGAAACGTACGTAGAACTGAGCACCGGGATACTGTCCTGCGGAATGTAACGCAATAATCTCATGTCTCATCAGGTATTGTCCGCTCGGGATGCATTTTGGGATTGTGAATCTGACTTTTCCGTCGGCGGAGATCATCTTGTCGACGGCCCACAGGCCTGTCGAGCTGTCGTAGCCGTCTTCATAGATTTTGAACCATTGGAGACCTGTCACGGTGGATTGCGTTGCGTCGGGGATGCGAGCGCTGTTGAAACGACAGGTGGGGCGAGATGTTGAAGAAGGGAAAGGACAAAAGGAAAGGAGAGGGGAGGGGGAGAACGTACAGGTAAGTTAAAATAGGTCCCTTGTGTGTCGGAGAGATGGGATCATCACCGTTACTGGGGTTGGGACCGTTGAGGTCGTGGTTCCATTGAGCGGTGATAGTTGCGCCTGCGGGGACGTTGATTACGGCTTGGGAGACGGGTTGTTTGTAGGGGTTGATTCCGCCGTTGCAGATGATGTCTTTTTTCTCTGGGTGAGTATGATCTCGAGGGTGATTCGATCTGGCCTTACCGTTAGAATCGACTTTCTCAATTGGCTAGAGAAGATATGAGTATGAGTGTGGTCAATGTAGTCGTAGAAAAAGATGGAAAGTGACGTACTCCGTTGGAGGTAGGAACGCGGATACCGTTCGTACGGCCTTGGGCAACACCGTTGACGCTGATTTCCTGGAAGATGGTGTGCGCAAAGACAGACGTGGCGTAGAAAGCCGCAGTGCCAGCGAGAGCAAGCTTCATGATGATTCCGAGTAGGGAGAGGAGAGAGAAACACGGAGAGATGCGAGTTCTGATCCTGAGGAAGATGTAATGCTCAGAGGCCGGGTTATATACCCATGTAAATTTTCTTGTCGTTGAGCAACGAGCTGCATGGCTATGTGTACGATGCGTCAGGAAGGAGAAGGAATTGAGTATTACCGTCGGTAATCCAGCGCCTGGAACGTCCAAGAGTTCGAGAGCCTCGAGATTTGCGAGGATTTACAGACGAATATCCGAGCTGTGTGGCGTGTTCAAAGCTGAGACTGCTATCGAGATTGCCTCGATTACTCCGATAATACATTGCGCCACAAGGGTATTCAGGGCGATGATCAATGAAAAGCTATGGAAAGTCGAGACGAGTTCTCTAAGTTTCTAGGCACCAAGAAATAGAGCTGGGACTTCTATTCCACGACACCGACGGTGGAGTAGTTATTGAATCGTGCTTTGTGATGTGTGAGCCAAATAGACGAATAGCCGCATGATGACCGCAAGTCTGACCCGTTCTGTTGATGTTCGTCCATCCACGGATTGAGGTCAAGCACAGCAGATATCTACCAAACTCGACGCACCAAGGCTGTTCCAGACGTACCAAGGGTCTTGTGTTCACAAGGATAAAGAGGTCAGTCAGTAAGATGTGACGTTAAAGATGCTCATATAGAGAGTATCTTGGTTCTTGGCAAGGCCTTATCGTCTTTGCTCGAGGTCATGGGGTTCGGAGCATGAAGAGATAGGTGCACAGTCTGAATCGTGAGCTGGAGAATAACTTTCTGAGTTCCATGCAAGTAGCTCATCGGAGCCCGGAGTATGAGTTATGCTCACCGGATTTCCCGGTGCCAGAGCCAAGTCGAAAAGGTTATGGCTATTTATCCGGCCTAGGTATATCCACAGACTTCTTGAGTCTTAATATGTCCATTATGCTGTAGTGCCTAACATTATCGCCTCTCGTAGCCGAGGTTTTTAAGCTTTTGAGCCGCGATAGCCCAGGGTTCGATTCCCTGTAACGGAATTACAACGGATGCACGAAGACTTTTTAACCACCGACGACTCGTGTGCTTTTTCTCCCTCTTATAGTACCACAGTGGCCTACGACGTGCGGTATTCTGAGCCCTTGTCGTTTCTTTCTTTATCCTCCCTCCTAATGATGTGTTCAGCCGTTCTCTACTCCAAGCTTTGGACAGATTTGACATTCTGTTCTTCGACACCGAGGTGGGATCTACCGATTAGATCGTCGTGAAAAGAAGACAGGCAGATGAGGCAGATGTATGCGTAATCAGGATTCTAGTTTCTCGGGGACATGGGCCTTCTAATCGTTCGTCCGCAAGCGATAGAACTCAAGAATGATTCAGATCAATCGCATCCCAGCCGTACCAAAAGTCTTGCCGACATTATAGATATGGATTGTGTAGAGTATACTTGGAGTAATTCTTCGTTCTCGGTTGGACTATCGGTAGACTTGAAGTTTGGTGTTTCAAGGAGCCCTTATTGGCCCTTCCAGTCGTTCGTCTGCCATCAATAGCTCTGAGGAATGATTCAGACGAAACTCACTCCAGCCGTACCAAAGGTTTTGCCCTTTTCATTAACACGGATGGCTAACCAGAGAGCCTATCGTGAAGAATAGCGTGTATACTTGGAGTATTTTGAATTGTCGGTCCAAGTCTCAGTGAAGTTGGAATTTGATGCCTCAGGGAGCGCTTACTGTGATTTGTACGTGAGCAAGCACGGATGAAAAGTTGTTCCAAGTGTGTGTTGCAAGGTATACTAGCGACTCCACGATTTTTGAGGTTGAGTCGGAGTCCTTTCTAGCTGCGTTCTCCCGCGGGTGTTCCGTGTAAGTATTATGAGTGGCCTCAAACGTGAATTGTAAATTCGGGTTGGGACATGAACGTTATCGATACGCTTTCAATGAGTGATTCGTTGTACTCTCTCGCCTCCGTCAGTTCTGTTTTCGCTGTGAGCTCAGACTGACCTGCCTCACAGTAGTATTCTCTATGGTTCGATCTATTTGCAGTCGCTGGTTCCTTTCGGGCACGAAGCATGTTTTTACTCGTACTGTTTGGATGCACTTGCATCAGCCGATGGACGGGTTGCCGGATCAACTGTGACAGACATCCAAGAGTGAGCACTGTCTGCAGACGATAACGATACCCCGCCCTCAAATGAGGCCCCAGCTGACGATTCACGCAAATTGTCAAAGGGTTTTGAACGTAAAAGCGGTGGCATGACTAAAGCTCACCATAATTTCAATATGTCGGAGATGCGAATTAGGATCCGGTTCTTTCATGTTGAACACCTTGTTACCAGCACGGCTACCCTAGCAACATGTTAACGGTATCAATCAACCAAGGGAAGGAAGTTATGGTCGACGGACCGTGTGATGTATTATGGAGTTACTCAACCACGGTGTCGACTATCAGCCCACCCATTGAGACATGTATTCGATTGAATCAAGGGGTCCACTGTCTATCGTGTCGGGTCCCAGTATAGTCGTTTCGCTATGGCTTGCCACTCTGCCATCCATTTGGGATTGTGCCGACCCTAGTAATATAATGGGAAACTTCCAAGTCGAGTTACGCACCCGACTGGCAGTTTCATCTCACACGAGTCGTCTCGTAAACGACCTGATGATTTGATGCCCATTGGGACCATTTTGTCGAGATGGATTGAACGATTGCCGTGGTGATAGCATTCATCAGTCGCAGGTGTGGGCTGTGGTTACGATCCATAATGAGATGGTTATATAGTCCTGATCAGGGAGACAACCTTGTTTTCGTTCCCCAAATATTCCCTGGAGCCTTTATCAACATCGACATGCGTTCCATAATTATGTATGTCTCTCCTACACTATTTAAGAGGACGTTAGCTGACTATACCGTGTTTGATTTTCCCAGTTACAGGCTGCCAGGCCTTCTTTCTCTTTGTCTACCTTTTCAGCAGCTAGGAGCGGGCTTTCGCATTGAAACCCCTTCTCAGTTACCCCCAATCATTTATGTTTTTCAACCGATGACTGTAGACTGGAGTCGGCGCGATAAGGGAGCATTCGACATCGAGTTGTCGTACTTGAATAACAAACCGGCTGCACATACGACTCAACCGTTCACCGTAGCCGCAGGTGTCTCCGGCTTCCGAGAAAAAGATGGTAGGCAACACGGTGCAATAACCTTTACAGCCACAGCTTCCGGGTGAGGGCTTTTACGTTTAGCCGAGCATACGTGACTGATTCGGAATCTGAGCAGAATTCTGAGTTTTATGATCGTGGAGGCCGTCTCCGATAAGTGAGTACCTAGATCACATCCAACGATTATTCTTAGAACTTGCTCAGTGGTTTATGAAAGAGGTTCAATGAATGATCGGAAGACTATTTTCGCGACCAGCTTGGTTGCATTACCTCTTCCTGGTAAACCATCGGCAAGATCTACGTCTTCGTAAGTTTCTTCTACGACTAGAACCTTTCCCCATAATTTCATATCATGACCTCCTTAGATTCACCCCAGCCGCGAGTACCGCAACAAGCTCAGAAACGCTTACAGATTCCCAAAGGTAAGTCTCCGCTGATTGTTTGGCACGTACCAGACTGCACAGTCTCTAACCTCTGTGTCAGTACTAGTAGTGCTTTGAGTTCGCGCTCGAACGGAATTGTAACTTCAAGCTCACCAATGACTACCAAGCCCGCGGAAACGCCCACTTTCACCGCAGAAGCCCAGTTAACCGCGAAACACGACGAAAGGGTTAAAGTTATCGTTGGAAGCATCATTGGCGGGGTCGCATTCCTGTTATTGGTATTGATAGGTGTCATACTTTATCTGCGCCGCCAAAGAAGAAAAAAAGGCCCAAATGAAGGATTCCGGCAAGACATAGCAAATGGCAATGCTAGAGGCCCGGGGAAAGATGGTAGGAGAGAAGAAGCTAAGCCCACTAGCAGACGTTCGAAAGAGATCTCCATCTCATCGACTACACCGCTTCGGGAGGATTTCGTAGGCGACGCTGAAGGCGACCAAAGCTCGCTGTCTGTCTCAGCAACCGGCAAACGGTCTCTCACTGTCTCCGATATCTCTGACAGAAGCAAGTCTTCCTCTGAAGAGGCGGGGGATATTCCGATACTGCCGCTCATACCGGTGTTGATCAACCCTCCTCTGTCAACGGATCACTCGAAGACGCCTTCGTGCGTACGGATAGATCGGCAGACGCGGATTGAGCAGAGAATTATGGAGCTGCAAGGGCGTTTCATCACGGCCTGTGGGTCCAGAGAAGAAAAGAGTCGGGTGAGGGCGGGATTGCATAAAAGAATCGAGACCCTAAAAAATCTTCGAGACTCTGAGTGGGCGTACGGTGGAAAGGGAGAGATACCGGAAGTTTTGATTGATCGATCGGGTTCGGACCGGTCCACGCCCGGTGGTTTTATACCTACGAGCATTTCAACAGGACGTTCGAAAAGGTTAGGATGAATGGCCGCAAGGGTGGCGAAATAGAGCTGGCGACTGTGCGGTCTAGACTCATCTTATCCACGGATACCTGACGGAAATACCTAATCCACATCCTAAAGAGCTTGCTGCCATTGACACCGGAGGCAGGATGCGTGTGAACGACAGGCCGTTCACGCCCTGTGAACGAGCCTTGTGAACGGCCAGTGAACAAGGGTCGTCTCGAAGGGAGACGATCCTTTGTGTACTCGGCTTATTTATTTATTTTGTTTTGTTTTATTTCATTTTAATTTCTATCACTTTGCTTTTCACACGGCTCGTTCACAGGGTGTGAACGGCCCCTCGTTCACACGCATCCTGCCTCCGGTGTGACAGGATCATCAGTAGCATGTCCAATAACAAGCATTATGGGGCTACGGGGACTGATCTTCGCATTTTCGAGACTGTGGAGTGATTCAAGTGCCAGCAAGTTAGTAGCTAGAATCCTATCATTGGAATGTAAATTCGGGTTGGGAGATGAACGTATTAATACGTTCTCAGTGAGTTGAAGCTGACGGCTGGGAGATGTGAGATGCCGTTCATTCCAAGAAAAAACCTGCGAATCTGATGTTCACTCTTGTCGGCGCTGAACGTGTGGAAATCTTGACCGTGACGTTGGACAAAGGAAAGAACCTCCGGCTAGTCACGAGAGTGATGATCGCCTCGTTAATGGATCCACCCAGAGCTCACAAGACCTAAAGATGGTATGCAGAGAGTATCTTGGTCCTTGGCAAGGCCTTATCGTCTTTGCCCGAGGTCATGGTGTTCGAAGAATGAAGAGATAGGTATACAGCATAGTCCGAATCGTCGGCTGGAGAATGACTTTCAGGGTTCATTGCAAATAGCTCATCGGAGCCGGAGTATGAGCGCTGCTCAACGGATTTCCTGGTGCAAGAGCCGTCTAGCCCAGGTATATTTACATTTTTGTCGTTGCCCAGTGTATCCGTTATGGTGTAGTGGCTAACATTATCGCCTCTCATATAGATGTTCTTTGACGCTCTTGAAGCGCGATAGCCCAGGACGAACTTAGTGTGGGGGAGTGTTGAACATGTTGGATATCATGTGACACATTGTTGACGTGTTGTGTACGCGTACAACTAATAATAGGACTTGTTCCTAGTTACACTTGCGCTCTCATGCAAGTCTCGTACTACGTATATACATTCATCATAAATGACTCTGTATATATGTACCTTACTCTCATGCACACGCTTATAGCGAATAGCATTAGTAGAGCCTCCAATGTGCGAGGCACAACGGACTGTTATACTTAGCAGACCAGTTATAATCTAGCTAGCATGTATCTGCTTATACGTTGCTCACTCAGCATAGGAACTTATGCCTACTTCTAGTAGTAGCATCAGTAATCGTATTCACACTTACCTACGTCTGTATGACTAGTAGATAGGCAAGGACTTTAGTATAAAAGCTAGGTAGATAGAGGCTTAGAGTCCTCAGTTCAATATACAACTTTACCAGTCTATTGCACTACAACTCAAGCATCTCAAGTCTTCTAGCTCAAGTATCACCCATGTGAGGTTCATTTCAT